CTCCCCTGCCCGCTGCCGCGGCCGGCCGCTCGGGGAGCTCGCCCGGGGGGGATTAGTCACCTCCCGGCGAAACGCCTCTCCTCCCGCTCGGCTGCGCTCGGCGGGCCGGCCGGGAGGGGAGCGGGACCCGCTCCGGAGTGGCAGCATCCCGCGGGGGCGGGGGGCGTGCAGCCGGCTTCCGTCAGGGACTGGCGCTTGTAACTCTGGTTTTGGTCTTGTCCACGCAGGCGATTAATCTTCAGCGATGTCTTTCATTTTCGAATGGATCTACAACGGCTTCAGCAGCGTGCTGCAGTTTCTAGGTAATGCCGCGTTACGTTAGTTCTTAAACAGCTCCGCTCAGGCTGCAGGAGCCGCCCTTAGGTCAGTTTGGCTTGTGCCAGTTGCCGAGATCACTTAGAAGTTAGCAATTAAAGCGCATCTCTTTTGGAGTGTGCTCTGACTAGTATAAAGTCTGGCGAGAAAGCTGCAAATCAATACAGGCTTTTTTACACTAGGAGGAGGAACTTTGAGAATAATTTGGAAGCGTTTGGCTCCCACTCAATCCTTCTCTTGCTGTTTAGAAGCGCAAGAGCAGCTGGGCTGATGCCAGGGGCCCGTTTAACCCCGCGCCCTGCCCCGGGCAGACGTGCTGCCTAAGCCAAGGAGGGAACCCCGTCCTCCTCCTCCTGGTATCTGAGCTCACTGGCTCCGCCAGAGCTCACCCTTATTTCTCGCTGCTGCAGCTGGCTGGTTTGCTTCTCCTCAAATGCTCATGTCCCATTACCCACCGTGGCGTGCCTGGGGGAGCTGCTGGCCGCTGACTAACGCCCTCAGCGCGATCCGGGTTGAAGGCTCTTTGTGGGGGTGCTAGCCAAAGCATTGCCCAATCTAGGGTGATCTGCGCAGCTGGGCTGGCTGCTTCACCACGGCGCGAGCAGCCCTTTCCTGAGGTGCGGGCAGTGGCGAAGCGCCTCCTGCCAGGGTCGTGAATTCCGGCGGAGGTCCCTGCTGGAGGACGGGGTGCTCTCTGTCCAGAGCGCCTCGCGAGGGGTAGGGAGGGATGAGAAAAAGTCCTGTTGGAAACCTAAGGGAACTTTCCTGCGGCAGATGCGTACCTGGAAGTGGAAAAAAATCAGTTTATCTAAAGAAAATGATGTGCCGTTTCGAGCTTTGCACTTCAACAACTTGCTGCTATCTTCTATGAGTTTATTCAATTTTCACGTTTAAACACCCCTTTGGGGCGACAGACTGATCCATAACCCATCGCACCTAAGTAACGCTCGGCTGCACGCTCTTCTGTTGGGATGTATCTGAGAAAAGAATAGGTTACTCACAGACATACGACCTTAGAGAATGCCCGTTGTTGTCGACATTACCTTGCGTTACCTTGGTAAAAGCCAGTTCAAGCTGTACTGTTTTTTCCCTGCTGTTGTGTGTCCGTGCTGGAAGTGCACAGGTGGCAGTGTAGCTCTGGGAGAGGGGTTCGTATGTAAACAGCAGCAAGCGTCGCAGCGCTTCTGCTCACGTGCCGAGGTAAGCCTGCTGGAGTTTTTCTTGCTTGTTTCTTTTCCTTCCAGGTTTGTACAAGAAGTCTGGAAAACTTGTGTTCCTGGGCTTGGATAACGCAGGCAAAACCACTCTGCTGCACATGCTCAAAGACGACAGGCTGGGTCAGCACGTCCCGACGCTACATCCCAGTAAGTCTGCCAGCGACTGAGCCCCGCCTGCCTCGTGGCGTGGTTTTTCCTCTTCAGTTTTGGGGACAGGGTGTTGGAAGACGCCTCGGCGAGAGCTCTGCATTGGGGCGACGGACTTTAAGAGTCTTAAAGCTGCATCTGAGGCTGCAGTTGCACGTTGGTGGCCCGAGCTGAAGTGGATTTGCATTTTCCTCTCAAATATAAAATGGAGAGCCCGAGAACTGGCGTGGTTCAATCAATATGACGTGCCTGTCTTGGGGAGGGAGTGGGTTTCTAATGAAATGTACAAAGCGTAACGCGGGTTAATAAGCTTGTGCTTAAGTAAGGAGGTCGGACAAATTATTTTCTGCCGCTCGTGCTTGTGTGAAACGACTCCATTTCAGTGGCTGAATTCTACAGGATATCTTACGAGAGGAGCGTGTGTGGTGTTAACAAGCGTCCCCAAGAAATTCTATCTGTGACAGCTTCTTTATTTTCCTGCAACACAGCCTGTATTTTTATGTTTCAGCATCAGAGGAGCTGACGATTGCTGGAATGACCTTTACGACTTTTGATCTGGGTGGACATGAACAAGGTAAAAGTGAAGTTGCTGAGTGGGAGACACCAAAATGAGGTTAATTTTCTGATTTCTGTGATGTTCTCCGGCCACCTTAAGAAAAACCTACCAAAACGCGATGCTGAAAAGTGATAGCAATTGGCAGTACCTGATTATTGGTCGCCCGAAATTATTTATGGAGCTATATGTGGAAATAACCCCCTGGCTCTAGCATATCCGTCGTTCAATACTTGTGCTTAATTCTGGCAGTTTGGAAAAAAATGCTGCCAGTTCATGCTCTGCTCCCTGAAATACTTTTAGCCGCGGAAGACTTGAATGTCATAGGCTTATTCTTTTGAATTAATTGCTGAATTTTTATTTTTAGACTTTCTAGAAGGTCTAAGAAAAGTTTTTCTGCTGTTTGGTTTTTTTTTTTTTTTTAATACACAAAAATATTGGAAGAAAGACACCCTGGCTAAAAGGGCAGCCGTGGTTGCCGAGGCTTACTTACGAAAGCAGCGAGAGTGTAACTGGCTCTCCAGACTGTGCCTGGCTTGCGGCCTCAGCCAGTCCCTTTGCCAGAAAGTCTTACGCTGCCTTGAGGAGATCATAACGAAGAGGGTGGCTCCCGCTTTTGGGTGTCGTTTCCCTCTTACTTCGGGCAGCGTTTTCACAGGGCGGTGTTTGTCGCTTCTGTGTTCCAGCTCGCCGGGTCTGGAAGAACTACCTGCCGGCCATCAACGGGATCGTCTTCCTGGTGGACTGCGCAGATCACTCGCGTCTTATGGAATCCAAAGTTGAGCTTAACGTAAACATACTTCTTTTTTTTTTTTTTCCCCCCTCCCCTTCCCCAAGACCTCTGAATAGCTAAATTAGAAATAATACTCTTTTTTGGGCTGGAACTTGAGCACGGCGCATTTTGAGAGTCTCGTGCTTTGGATTTGCACTGCCGGTGCACCTTTTACGCCAGCGATGCGGTGTCCAAGGCGTGAGCTTATAGGCATTTGCACGTTACTTTATGCAGGGACGGGATCAATACGGATTTACCGGTATACTCGCCCAGAGCTGGAGAAGCCTGGCTGCCCTTACTGTGGGTCGACCGTAGGCCCTTGAGCAGCCTTCGAAGAAGTTTTGAAACGGCCTGTGGGTTTAGATAGGACCTGCGTCTGCAAAACCTTTCCGGAAGGACTCCTCTTCGGCAGGAGCACTGTAGCACCGAAAAACAGCCCTTGTTGGTCACAGAGCTGGAACAGAAACGTTTTCCTCGAACGATGAATGTTTTTTGTGCCTCTGCTTAACTCTTCTTCCATCTCGCACGCAGGCGCTAATGACAGATGAAACAATATCCAACGTGCCAATCCTTATCTTGGGTAACAAAATCGACAGACCGGAGGCCATCAGTGAGGAGAAACTGCGGGAGATCTTTGGGCTCTACGGACAGACCACCGGAAAGGTAGGGGGGCGTCCAAATCTTGGATCGTCCGCGAGTGAGGGAGGGCTTGCGCGCTTCGTTGCAGGATGAGGCTCCATCTAGAAACTAATTGAGGCGTTACTGTGAATTTGTCCACAATATTGACCAAGCTGAATCTTTAGTAATAATAACTATAACGCCCTCGGGCAAGTTTCTGAAAGTGCCAGAATTGTGCAAAACACGGTGGTGCCTCTGCAGCGATTAGGGAATTAGGTGTCGAGCTGGTATTTTAACATATTGTCTGGCTCTCCTGGTTTCATTACTCTGCATTTCCGTCCAGTTACCCACCTCATCATTTTTTCAGTGTTTAAAAACAGGACGGTTAGAGAGAATTGATCAGAAATGCTGGGTGACGGTAGTAAACCACTGCGAGGCTAGTCTTCGCCTTCACGCGGTGACAATTGCTTCTTGTATCGCACTGCCAAGTACCGCGGGTACATCAGGCTGTGCCTCGAAAATGGTTTGCTTCCGTGTTTCTAACGCCCCTTCTCCCACGCTGCTGGCTCCGAAAGTCCCGTGGGCAGCCGCTCGGGCAGGTCCCCCTCGCGAAGGGGCCGGTGTGCAGCCGGGAGAGGGAATTCCCCGGGCCGAGAGGGGTTTCCCTAGACGAGAGGGGTTTCCCTAGACGGTGGTGACTGGGTTGCCGCTTCCCTGAGGGCGGCGGGCGTGCGGTTCTGACTTCTCTTTGGACTTCCCTAGGGAAACGTGCCACTGAAAGACCTGAACGCACGTCCCATGGAGGTGTTCATGTGCAGCGTGCTGAAGAGGCAAGGCTACGGTGAAGGCTTCCGTTGGCTATCGCAGTACATTGACTGATACTTGGACGGACACAAGAGTTTTACTCCTCTGGACTGATCCTGTTCACAGCTTCCTGTGGACTTTTCTATCGGAACACGGAAGGCTTTCCGACCGCATACTGGCATTGACCAAGAGACTCCTGGTTTTCGGCTGCCCGATCGCACAGTGGTGACACAACTCTTTTCCACGTGACGGGGAGACAGCACCGTTCTGCACGCGGGTGCAAGTTGTCCCTTTCAGTTCGGTTACAGCGGGGCTGTTGTGATCTGGGAAGTAAAACTCTGCACGCTGCACTGTAACAGCTGAAAAAGAGAGCACGTCTCACCACTGTGGCTAATTGACTTCAAAAAAAAAAAAGAAAAGAAAAAAGAAAAAGCAATTATATTTTTTAAAGAAAGTGTTAATGTAAACAGCATCCCTTCTAACTTTTTAGTTTAACGTTCATCTTGTTTAGTCCAGAGTCTGGTTAGGGTTTTTTAAAAATATATTTAACGATATTTAGATATTTCACAAATTACTGAACCAAGGTATCACGATATTAGAAGTCCTCAATAAACATAGCATTTGGGCTTAACTGAGCTGTAGGGTGGCTGTGCTGTGTCACGCTGACCGACGACGAAGAGGGTGCCGTTGGGACTGACGTGTGCAATCCGAGCTTCTTTAGTTTATGGGGATTTTTTTAGCTGGAGAGGAGCATCCGCGAGCGCAGCTGGTTTAGGTGTTTGGCCGTGGTGACCGGCGCTCGCTCCCGG